TCTAGCATAATTTATTAAATTGTGCTAAAATTTACAAGGGTTCAATTAAAAAATATCTTAATTCTAAATGATATAATAGAAAATATATAATAGTGCAGTTATAAGCACTAATCTGAAAATAAAAACTTAAAGAAGTGAATTTAAAGAAGGGATTAGCCAAAGAAAATATATGCACAACCCATGGACACAGACAACAGTATGGTGATGGCCAGAGAGAAGTGGGGGACAAGAGCTGGGTAGAGGGGGCAAAAGGGAGGAAATAGGGACATCCTATATAATAATAATAAAAGGCTAATATGAACATTGACTGAATGGCAGAATGACGGGTTGCTATGATGCACACTGGTCACCAGGGGGCAGATGGTCAATGCAGGAGCTGCCCCCTGGTGGTCAGTGCACTTCCATATGGGGAGTGCCACTCAGCCAGAGGCTGGCTAATGGCTGGCCAGCACAGAGGTGGTGGCAGGAGCCTCTCCCACCTCCGTGGCAGCACTAAGAATGTCCAACTAACGGTTTAGACCCGATCCCTTGGGGGCCTAAGCCTTTAGTCGGACCTCCCCTGAGGGCTCCCTGGCTTCCAGAAGGATGCCTGTCTGCAAGCTTAGGCCTGATCCCCTGGGGAGTGGGCTTAAGTTGACAGGTGGACATCTCCCAAGGGGGCCTGGACTGCAAATGGGCAGAGGCTGGGCTGAGGGACACCCCCCCCCCCACCCCGCCGAGTGCACAAATTTTTGTGCACCGGGCCTCTGGTATTTATATATGTTATGGGCTGAATTCATATTTTAAAGTCCTAATCTTCACTACCTCAGAATGTGGCTGAATCAGAAAATAGGGGTGGCTAAGAAATTTGGACAAATAAAGAGACACACACACATACACACAGAGGACAACTTGGTGAGGACTCAAGGAGAAGACAGCTGACTACAAGCCCAGGAGGAAAGCTTTAGAAGGGACCAACCCTGCCAACACCTTGATATTTGACTTCTGTACATTAGAAAATGTTTTTGCCTACAACAAAACAAAAAATACCTAACCTTATAGTTGAAAAAGAGGCTAAATAGGCTCAAAGGGGCTGCCTCGAAGCAGGAGGTCTAACAAAGGTATCATATTAGCACTGATCATTTTTGAATATGCAGCAAAGTTAGGTGATCCTTTTATATTTTTTATGCCAAAGGAGTTTTCTAAGTCCTAATGAATAGATTAGAAAGCATGCCAGGTATTCCTTCCTGTGCAGCAACTCACTGCATGAATGTGCTCTCATGAAATTAGATCAGTATGGGAAAATGGGGAGTACACCTGCCTAAGATTCAGTTCAAAAACTCCCCACACATTTGCATCTTGTGGGGCCATGAAAAAGCAGTGGTTGATTCAAAGATCTGCCATCTTCCTGATGGCAGGACACTGCTGTGTCCTGGGCCCATATAAGCAGCACCTGTCTTATGACTCACATTCTCCTCGGCCCCTGCCTTGGGGCTTGTAAGTGTGGAAAGGAAAGATGGGTGCTGTGTTGCAGGCCAGGCCTATCTTGAGCCACAAGCACAGGGCACTGGGCATAAGCAGAGCCTGAGCTCACAAGGGTGACATCTCCGTGGTTCCCAAAGGTCTTGTTGAGCCTCCCTTCATCTAAGCCAAGCATGTCAAACTCACAGGACCTGGGCCACATGCGGCCCACAACGAATATTTTTGTGGCCCAGTCAATATAAAGGTATGTAAGAAACGTTTTAATAAACATTTCATAACTTAATTTTTATAATATCCTGTTACACATGATTATTAATAATGAACAATGTTTGCTAATGACTGATTACTATAATTGTGTTTGTTCATTTCCTTTATGCACCTTATGTGCAGGCTCACCATTTCTCTCCACTAATACTAGCAGCGAATATTTTAGCAGCTGATTGCCATGCCATTAGTCTTGGACTGACTTGTTTGGTGTGTGCAACAGGAAATATTTCGCTTTTGGAGAACAAGAAAA